CTTGTGTGAATTTTGGGACACCCTTTATTTCCAGCTTCGTTTGAAGCTAGTTGTGAACATAAGACTAAATTTAGGCCAATGGAATATGAGCAAAAGAATTAAGTACAAATTTTGCTTTCTGTCCTTAAAAAATCAAGTTCTCAACCTCTACATCCACCTATCACTACTATCACCATTACTATTGCCAACTGAAATAGGTGCCATATAAAAGGATGGCTCAGCTGCCCACCCAGCTTGGGTCCTTGGATAACCTCAAGCAGCTTGTTCCTGTTCCTACCCTGGACTATCACATTAAAGAAAAATAAAATTCTACCTTATTTGAGCCACTGTATTTTGGGATTTCTTTGTTACAGATGCTTAGCCTACACCCTAATATTTTACCACTTAGAATAGAAAAAAAGAACTAATACTTCTTCCTGGTTAAGATCAGTGCATAATGCTACCATAAATATAAATTTTCTTTGAGATGTCTGCATTTTACCTATGAAGTCATAACTTGCCATTCTACTTGATGATATAGGCACATTTGGCTTCATATAAAAATACTTTAGCCCGGCCGACATGGCTCAGTGGTTGAACATCGACCTATGAATCATGAGATCAAGGTTTGATTCCCAGTCAAGGCATGCAACATTCCCAGGTTGCAGGCTCAATCCCCAGTAGGGGGAGTGTAGGGGGCAGTCGATTGGTGATTCTCATCATTGATGTTTCTATCTCTCCCTCTCCCTTCCTCTCTGAAATCAATAAAAATATATTTAAAAAAACATTTTATTTATTTATTTTTTAATATATTTTATTGATTTTTTTTTTACAGAGAAGAAGGGAGAGGGATAGAGAGTTAGAAACATCGATGAGAGAGAAACATTGATCAGCTGCCTCCTGCACACCACCTACTGGGGATGTGCCCGCAACCAAGGTACATGCCCTTGACCGGAATCGAACCCGGGACCCTGGAGTCCGCAGGCTGACGCTCTATCCACTGAGCCAAACTGGCTAGGGCTAAAAAAACATTTTAAAATATGCTGCCACTTCCGACATAGTGGAGTGGATGTGCTTTGCCCTATTCTACCTGCTAAGTCCACAACTAAAAATCCTGGACATTATACATAAAACAAACTTAAGAATCTGAAAACTATAGAAAAGAAGGCAGACTGGCTAGGGACATTGGGACCTGAGGAATGAGATGGTAGTGAAATCCCTGGGTTTTCTTTTTACTTGATATATCCCAGATTTGGATCTGAAGAAGCCAGCGACACACGAACAAAGGGCACATACAAAAGCCCTAACAAAAACCTACTCTCATTAGCTAAAACAAACAAACAAACTGTAAAAGTGAAGTCTAACAAGACAGAAAACTTTGCCCTGATTGGGTGGCTCAGTTGGTTGAGTGTCATTCCATACACCAAAAAGACTGTGGGTTTCATTCCCTGCCGAAGCACATATGGAGGCAACAGATCGATGTTTCTCTCTCAAACTGATGTGCTCTTTCTCTCCCCCACACCCCCCGCCTTCCATTCTTCCCTCCTTCCCACCCTCCTTCCATTTCTCTCTCCCAAATCAATTAAAAAACACACATATCCTTGAGTGGCAATTTAAAAAACTTTAAGACAAAACCTGATCTATTTCAGCCAAACACTACAGAAAAAAAAAGGGGGGGTCTAAGTGAGGAGCATAGACTTCTACCCTTCCAAAACAATAATGAAGCACCACCAAGCCAAGTTGGTATTAGAGATGGCCAAGTAGGAGTCCTGCTGGCTGGTAATAAGCTACTTCTCCCTGTGGTGTCAGTGGAGACCACACAGGAAGACTGAATTTTCATTTCCACTCAGCAGTAATGAGGTGCCCCCCTCTCTCCAAGCTACCAACTGGAAGAAAGTATTTGCAAATCTCATATCCAACTGAAGACTTGTATCTAACATATACAAAGAACTCTCAAAACTTAACAGTTACAAAACCCACACACAATTCAATCAGAAAAATGGGCCAAATAACCATATACATTTCAACTAACAAAGAGCATGAAAAGATGTTAAACATCATTAATCATTAAGAAAACACAAATTAAAACCACAATGAGATATCACTACAAACCTATCAGAATGACTAAAAAAAAAAAAGAAAGAAAAAAGAAATGCAGGTGAGGCTGTGGACTAATGGACTCACCACATTACTGGTAGGAATGTAAAATGGTACAATCACCCTAGAAAATGGTGTGGCAGTTTCTCAAAAAACTAAACATACAACTACTATATGACCAAGCAATAGCACTTCTGGATATTCATCCCACAGAAACAAAGACTTACATCCACCAAAAACCTGTGCATGTTTATAGAAGCTTTACTTATAATAACCCCACATTGAAAACAACCAATATATCATTCAATCTATACTAATAAAGGCCTAGGTGGCCCTTGTGCCCTCACAAGATGGCCACCCCCACGTCGTCACAAGATGGCCGGCAGGGGAGGGCAGTTGGGGGTGACCTGGCCTGCAGGGGAGGGCAGTTGGGGGCGACCAGGCCAGCAGGGGAGCAGTTAGGCATCAATCAGGCTGGCAGGGGAGAGGTTAGGTTCTCAACCTTCTGGCCCTTTTTAATACAGTTCCTCATGTTGTGACCCAACCATAAAATTATTTTTGTTGCTACTTCATAACTGTAATGTTTCTACTGTTATGAATTGTAATGTAAATACCTGATATGCAGGATGGTCTTAGGCAACCCCTGTGAAAGGATTGTTCGACAGCCAAAGGGGTCACGACCCACAGGTTGAGAACCGCTGAGTTAGGGGGTGATGAGGTTGGCAGGTAGAAGCGGTTAGGGGCAATCAGGCAGGCGAGTGGTTATTAGGAGCCAGCAGTCCCAGATTGTGAGAGGGATGTCCAACTGCCGGTTTAGGAGAGGGTACAGGCTGGGCAAAGGGACACCCCTCTAGTAGGTGAATATTTAAACAAACTATTACATCCATACCATGGAACACTACACAGCAATAACAAGGAATAGGCTACTGATATACTCAACAACCTAAATATTCTCCAGAGAATTATGCATAGTGAAAAATGCTAATAGCAAAATGCTAATACATATTATATGATTTCACATATATGACATTCTTGAAATGACAAAATTATAAAAATAGAGACAAGATTAATGACTGCCATCGGTTAAGAAATGGGTAAGAGAGTCGGCCTGGTGGTCAAATCCTTCTAGTATTAACTACAACAATCAAGGCTTAACTAGAACAAGACTGCGCACAAAGACCACTAGGGGGTGCACCAAGAAAGCATAAAAAATGCGGAGGCAAAAAAACATGACAGAAATGGAGGATATAGAGCTAAAAAATGCAATTTTGAGGGCTTGCAATAATGTGCTAGAAGCTGCCAATAAACTTGATGAGAGCCTCACGAAAACTAATGAGACCCTCGATGTTGTGATAAAGAACCAACTAGAAATTAAGCATTCACTGACTGAATTAAAGAATATTATACAGACACCCAACAGCAGACCAAAGGGGCGCAAGAATCAAGTCAAAGATTTGAAATGCGAAGAAGCAAAAAACACCCATCCCGAAAAGCAAAATGAAAAAAGAATCCGAAAATACGAAGATAGTGTAAGGAGCCTCTGGGACAGCTTCAAGCGCACTAATATCAGAATTATATGAGTGCCAGAAGATGAGAGACAGCAAGATATTGAAAACCTATTTGAAGAAATAATGACAGAAAACTTCCCCCACCTGGTGAAAGAAATGCACTTACAGGTCCAAGAAGCGCAGAGAACCCCAAACAAAAGGAATCCAAAGAGGACCACACCAAGACACATCATCATTAAAATGCCAAGAGCAAAAGACAAAGAGAGACTCTTAAAAGCAGCAAGAGAAAGAAACTCAGTTACCTACAAGGGAGTACCCATACGACTGTCAGCTGATTTCTCAACAGAAACGTTGCAGGCCAGAAGGGAATGGCAAGAAATATTCAAAGTGCTGAATACCAAGAACCTACAACCAAGATTACTTTATCCAGCAAAGCTATCATTCAGAATTGAAGGTCAGATAAAGAGCTTCACAGATAAGGAAAAGCTAAAGGAGTTCATCACCACTAAACCAGTATTATACGAAATGCTGAAAGGTATCCTTTAAGAAGAGGAAGAAGAAGAA